ACCAATCAGCACTTGTGTGTACAGGAGCTAGTACCTGTGCCTAAGAACCTCTTGTTTAAGCTTGTGAATATGCTGTTTTACAAACACTCGCTTTCCTTATTTTTATAATATAAAACTTCTTAGAAATTTTTGTTAGTCTATAATATAAAATTATTTTCAAAGTTTTAAGAGCATTATTATTATTTTTACGATTTGCCCTCACCTTTCTAACTTATTATTAGCAATATAATGAAAAGTATTAATAAGAAATAATGAAAGTGCGTTAAAAGAAATCTGTTATCATTTCTCTAATATAATAAGAGTTTGACTTTAATCAGAGGTAAACTTAGAAATAATTATTTCTTAAAAATTAATATAATAACTATCTTCAACAACTTTTATCAGTACATATGATTTAATTAAAAGATTCTTATAAAAACGAACTTAAAGAAGTAAATGTGTAGAACAAATCTTTCTCCGAGGAAATTCCATATGTAGGCCTCGTTACTCAAATAGGCAATACCTTGCAATTACAACTTACCGCTTATTTGCAGTATAACTAAAGAATTTTGTTGGTGTGATTTTTTTACACCAGTATAAGTTTAAAAACTTTTACACTTAATCTAAATTTTTTATTTAACTTAACTTAAATCTAACGGCTATAATATATATATATATATATATGTTTACTTTTATTTTTGTTTGTTTTGTAAAGCCATAAAGTTTATTAAAAAAAATTATAAGGAATTCATCAACTCTTATACAAAAAATTAAGATAGAATTAATTAATTAATTACTCTTACGAAGACATTGCTTAAAATCCCCTTGTGAGCTGTCACACTCTCGCAATTGTATAGGTTACATTGCATTGTTGATTTGGATCGTTTTATAATTAAGATAGTTATGTTAGTTGTCACACGTATTAGATGGTGAACATCAAATATCAAATGTTGTGTTTTAAGCTTGCCATACATACAGTGTGGCAAATGAATAGGGATGAAAAAAATCCAGTACACCAAACAAAGGATCTTTAAAGAATGGTCACATCAATGTTACGTACAAGACCTTTGGATTGTCTATTGTGTGAATGTAGAAATTTTGGATGCCCTAAAAATATGGGCATTCTTGTCACAAGGGCTATCCTACTGTTATACGTAGTTACAACCACTGCTGAATTCTTGTATCTTCATAATTATTTTTTCTTACATTTTTACACTTTCTTTTTATTTTAGTTTATTTTTGTTCTATCACACACCTTTTAAATTTTCTCCCATTTTTTTAATTTCTCTTCTTTTCGATAATTTATACTCAAAATTGGGTGTGACCAAATAAATTTCCAGTACCCATGCATGCCCTTTGGCTTTGCAATGTTGCAATATAATGAGGACACTACCCCACATTGTGACCGACCATTGAAAGCAAACTAGCAGTACAGTTCCTAATAATCCCTATAAACGATGCGCCACAGAAATTCCTCAACCTTATAAATGAAACTCTTCACTTCAATTTCACCACCACCTATACCTACCCTTCTTCTCTCTTTTCACCTGCTCTTGTTATATCTTCATATTTATCTACACTATTTGGTTGTTTATTCCTTCATTTCACAATTTTTCAGCGTGACATGGCCAAGTTGCGAAATGCAAGGGTCACCACGGAGGTTGCTCCACCTAGGTTTGTGCCCGTGACACGGTGCCGTTTGAAGAAAATGCTAGACACCATTGTGGAGGAAGAAAATGATTTTGTTGCTGACAAACGCTTCTCTTCACCAACTTGTGCCTCTGCCTCTTTTAGTCTTATAGAAAGGCCAGTTTTGTTAAAGAACTTCTAGCTAGTTGTTCTACAAGAGACTAGTATAGCTTAATTTAGATAAATTTTCAAATATGCAATTATAATAAAAGAAAATGATTAAAGAGGTAAAGTATATCAATTTTTTTTCACAAGTTTAAATTAATTTATGCACATCATTTTTTTAAGAAAAAATAACTTAAATATATTTTTGATTTCTACATTTTAATGATTTTCATTTTATTTTAGTTCTTTTAATTTTTATTTTTTTTATTTTAGTCTCTATATTTTTGTAAATTTTATTTTTAGTCCTTCTCTAGTTGACATGGTCAACAAAAATTGACATGTTTTAGTAGAGCATGTTAGAAAGAGAGACTAAAAATAAAATTTGCCCAATTATGAAGATTCAAACATAAAAAACTGTTTAAATGAACTAAAAAATAAAAATAAAATAATAAAAATGTAGAAATAAAAAATATATTTAAAATTTTTTATTTAAATTTTTTCAAAGCTGATGTGAGTAAGTTAATTTTAACTTGTGAAAAAAAAATTAATTTATTTTACTTCTTTATTTTATTTTTTTATAAGTGCTTATTAGAAAATTTGTCTGAACTATATAAATTGTTATGTGCGGTTTTTTGAAGAGAAAAATAAAAGAAGCATATGGTCTGGTTATATATGTTACCAGTTCTCATCGGCTGAATCAAATAAATAGGCAAGAGAATGGACATCACTTGGGTTATGACATTAACGTGCTGTTTCTCTCACAGGATGAACACCACTTTAAGTTATGACAATGTGCTGTTTTTCTTTATGTCTTTCAGAATTCTTTCATTTGTTTTGCTCGATTGCTCTTTGGAGTTTCATCCAGCTTTTGGATTATGATTCCCCTTCTTATGTAGATGTTCTTGTACTGTTCATGGCTTTTATATGACAGTAGCACAGATGAATCCCAAGGTATGTAGGATTATGTGAATGAGTTCTTTTGTAATTGCCATGGACATGGAGTGAGAAGATCTTAATAATGGGTCTCTAATGTTGTTTTGTTATGCCACTTTGCTTATTTGTGGACAAACATTTGACAAGATCTGTTTCATTCAATATTATTATTACATCCTTGTCTAAGCATTTAATAAAATAAGGCTAATGATAGAATTTGATCTTATATGCATTATTAATATGAAAACTTGTATATTATTACTCAATAATGTGCTATCATATTGTTAATTAATAAATTTAATATCTTCTTATATAAATAATTATAAAATATTCAATGGCTAGCGCTTTTATTGTAAATATTAACATTTTTTCCTAAAATATTACAAATACAATTGTTCTAGCTTTGGTTGTAGCCAAATCATCTTTTTTTTCTCGCTATTGTTAATCAGCATGGCAGTTTCCCCTTTATTTCTTATAAATAGTAGAGGAAGAATGAATCTCATGATGATTTTGATTCTACTTTCATTTAACGGAGATACGGTGTGATATGCAGACATTAGATGTTCCCAGCGGAGATGAACAATTAACTATTAATTATTAATTAACAATTCTATGAAGTTTGCCGTGAAAAAAAAAAATATACACCAAAGTGTAATACATATATAAAACAAGAGAGATTTTTATGTAAGTATATGAAAAAAAAAAGAAAATTGAATAATTTATTTTAAATATTTTCTTTTTTGTGTTGAACTTTTCAACAATCTTGCTAGCTATGATTTATTTATTTAAGTTACATTTTATTTATGTATTGAAAAGAAGCATCTTGTTTGATTTACTAGATATAAAATAAAACTACATAATTAAAGGCAATTTTATCTAATTAGTCTATAAAAAAATGCTTTTTACTAAATGTCTTAATTTTAGAAAAATATTTTAATCTCCTCTTTACTTCTCCTCCAATCAAACACTATGTATATGAGAAAATTTAAATTAAAATACTTAAGTGTATATATATATATATATATATATACACACAGAGAGAGATAGAAGAAAGGATTAAATTATATTTATTTTTATACTGTTTAATATTTTTTATTGGATAATTTAATTAAAAAATTGATAAATAAATTAAAAATTTCAAACACATAAATTATATATGCAAAAATGTAAATAAATATAAAATTATTTATTACTTCAATTATATTTATCAAAATTAACGTAATATATATTTTAAAAATATATAAAAACAAAGGCCTATAATTGCATTGTTATACTTTTTAATTTCTAAAAAATTTGACACAAATAAGTTCTTAAGTAGACAACAGGTGTGTGAACAAAAAAGTCATAAGAATATTGATTTGCAAACAATTAACGTGCTATATAATAAAAGCTTTAGAAGATAAATATTAAATAATTTTTCGACCTCTGTTTAAGTTCACGTAGAGATGAAATTAGTTGCAGTATATTTACATGCGATGATACACGTACAGTGTTATCTGATTATGTTATGCTTTTCCTTTCTCTTTTATTAAATGATCTTTCGAAAGATCTTCAACCGCTGACTTGCATGCCCCATGCCGCAGTGGACTTCAAAGCCTTACATTCTCTTTCTATTGTTAGTGACTTAGTGTGAACACATAGCATACCTAAATATGCCTCCACCTTCTAATTCTACGCATGGTGTGAAAAGAACCTTGAAGAACTTACTTAAGATGTAATCTACGTTCATGATAAAAATTTATAATATATAAATTTTTACTAAATTTTAATATATTAATAACATTAAATAATATAATTTATAATAAAAAATTATTTATATAGTTCTATCTATACACCTTATGTTAATAAAAATCAGATTTTATTATCGGTGAGAATTTCAACTTACAAGCGCTTGAAGGTGTCCACCATCACAAATATAAACAAATATTTATTCAATGCTCTATCATAATAGTTTTAACTGGGAAGTATTTGGTGTGTATATATTGTACCATTTTAATATTTTCATAATGATTAGAAAACTCCTATCTATCACCATCTTGTTCGTGGAAGGCAAAAGAAGATTACATTGCTAATCTTGAAGGCATGAAACACCGCTTTTCAATTGACCAATTTAGATTTCAGAATTTCAACTTCATCAAATGATATTCTACAATGATTGCACCTTTCAATCCATGCCCATGCAACTATAAATAGTTGAAGGCTTCTCTGCTTTTTCCACAAGGCAAATAGAAAAACTTGTGTTCTAGCATACTTCTGTTTTGCTCTCAAGCTTGTAGCAAATTCACTTCAACCCAATGGCATCATTCCAAAGTTTCAACTTTGAAGCTCAGATTCCAGCAGAGCTCCTAATAGCTCAGATCATGCAACTTCATGCAAGCATTTCAAAGCTTGAATCTCTTAGGCCTTCTAAGCAAGTTAATAGCCTTTTCACTCACCTAGTGAACCTTTGTACCCTCCCTTCATCCATTGACATTGAAGCCTTACCCCAAGAGGTGAAAATAATGCGTGAGAACCTCATTAAGCTTTGTGGCCATGCTGAAGGGCTTTTAGAGCTTGAATTCTCAACATTCATAAGCCTCACACCCAAGCCATTGAACAATCTAACCTTGTTCCCTTACTATGGGAACTATGTGAAACTAGCAAACTTGGAGAACAAAATCCTCGAAGAAAATGGGGTGGTGAATTCAAAGAAGGTAGCCTTTGTAGGGTCAGGTCCAATGCCACTCACTTCCATCATTATGGCCACTCATCACATGGAATCTACCCACTTTGATAACTTTGATATTGATGAGAAGGCAAATGAGATGGCTCGCAAGATTGTTGCTTCTGATGCAACACTTGAGAGGAGGATGAAGTTTGAAACACAAGACATTATGGAAGTGAGAGAGAGGTTGGGACAATATGATTGCATCTTTTTGGCAGCACTTGTGGGTATGAGTAGAGAAGCAAAAAATAAGATTTTGGGACACATAAGAAGGTATATGAAAGAGGGAGGGGTTTTACTAGTGAGAAGTGCAAAAGGTGCAAGAGCTTTCTTGTACCCTATTGTTGAGGAGCATGACATGGTGAATTTTGAGGTGCTTAGCATCTTTCATCCCACCAACGATGTGATCAACTCAGTTGTTCTTCTTCGCAAGCCTAAAGCTTAACCTCAACAACCACACAAGTTGCTTCTACATGAAGAAAATAAGTGTTCTGATAGTTTCTATTCCAATATGCTTTCTTTTTCTCAGTTGAGGTGAGGTTTATTCGGTGTTACTTACAAAGCTTGGTATTGTTCAGTGTCCCCTTGTGCTTACTTCAGTCGTCTTGCTTGATAAGATGATTGAAAATATTCGTATCAGAGTTTCAAATATAATAATAAATATGCCACTATTGTTACCTAACGGATTTATCAATTTACTTTCTTACTTTACAAAATTTTTACTTCAGCCTTTAATTTTTTAAGAATTTATTTTAATCATTTTTTACAATATATATATATATATATAACATTTCAAGTGAGAGATATTAATAATAGCCATTGATAAAAATAAAATAAAATTAGATAGTAAAATAACAACATTAAATTTAAACTCTTTATTTTAATCCAATAACAATTATTAATGTCTCTTATCTCTCATAATTCTCTCACTTAAAATGTCTTATATATAAAATGAATGTTATTTTTTGAAGTTAAGGATTAAATTAATTTTTGTTGTAAAATTGATTACTAAAGTAATCATTGTTTACATTTAAAAGAACTAAAATAAGTATTTACTTATTATTTTTCACTCTTTTTTCAATGCTATCTTGGTCGCATTTCTACAGTACTCGGAAAACGGAGAAAAGGAGGTCATCGCTTCTGCAACCTTGTTCCTCCCGGCATGACTGAGTCGCAGCAAATATTTATTTTCTTTATAGTTGAAATTTACATCCAATGTCAATGACTATTCATATTTGAACCATACGTTTTTTTACCGAAAAAAGAATAAAACGTTAATTTCGTTTTTACTTTATGAAACCACTGCATTAGCCATCAATAACACAGTGTAACGGAAATCTTTGACATATTTTAATTTTCGGAATTCCAAAACAAACACCATTGTCTACCAAAATATATAGCTTCGGACGACAATATACAGTTTCTTTTGAGTTTTTAACCATCTCGAAAGCTATAACAAATACCATGTTACATAGGTGTCGATGTGTGTATATCAAATTAAATCATAAATCTCTCAAATTTCGGGATCTAGTACTTCCGGGGCAAAATGTTTATAGCGAATGAATTTTCCTTTCTTAAGTACCGGAAAGTATACAGTCTCATTGTTGATAGAAATTATCCACACGCCATACACAGCCTCATCTTCGCTGCAAAATTTGTTGAGCAATTTTATAGAAAAGGGAAGATTTTGTTCCAATACAAGACTAAAACAGATTGTACAGAATGAATAGAATTCCTGACATGCTCTCCTCAAGATTCAATAGAACTTATAGCCTCCATGGAGAAAGAAAACTTATGGCAAGACATGAAATCTGAACTTCTAGATCAAATATGCATGGAGCACCTAGAAGGATAACAAAGCCATTGAGGGAAAGGCTTCATTGATAACAGTCTCCACATTCTCCTGCTACTATCGCCAGCACTAGCTCAAATAGTCAGTATGTAACAAACCCAAACTGAGCATCCCAGTAAGGGTACCACCACTACAATAATTAGTAATACAGAGTATACACACCACGCCTCACTAGCAAGACAGATCAACAAGCTGCGACGTTTTGGAAATGAAATAGAAAATATCAAATCATGAACTGAATTAAAGGCCTAGGAGAATGGAAAATATGTAGAATAAAATAATAGATCACCTCATACCATGTTCTAATTAAGGTCCTTAATATTGTATCTTTTCTTGGCTAAATGATCGGAGACGTTCAATCAGGTCCTTTCTCAATGACTCGGGAATCTGTGATATGAAAGCTCCCTGTGCATCTCCTATTAGCAACTTCCTGTATCACATGTAGTGCACATCCAAGGATTACAACCAGAGAGTCAAACACAATCACCATCGCCCATATATTAACATATGTGAAAGGGAGCTTTTAGTGTATATTTGTTAAATAATATAAAAATAAAATACAACTACATACCCAAACAGGAAAAAGGAACAATAAGAAACCATTTATCATAAAACTAAAACTAGGATTTCAGTGAGATTGGAAAAGGCTGGGTTGTCAAGGCAAAGCTACGTTAAGAACTATTGAATATCATCAATTGCATAAATATAACCATGAATGAATGTGCAATCACTTGAAAGAGAAAAAAGGGATAACAAATCATGAATCTCTGCCTACATACATAGGTACTACAAACCATAGGAGTCAATAGTGGCCGTTGCGGCTGCTATTGCAGAGGTGTGGAGCAGAGCAGCTGGGTGCCGCTTTTCCATCTTGCATCACGTAGTAGCCATCGCGCTGCAAATTGCAGCCATCATGCTGATATTTCATATGTTGGAATTTTTTTAAGGGGACCAATCTAGAGATTTGGCCCCCTTTTGGGCAAAAGGGCAAGTTTGCCCTCCTTTTCTAAAAGTTGGAATTTTTTTAAAGGAGGCAATCTTGAAATTTCACCCCTTTTTATATTTCTGAAAGTTGGAATGCTTCTCCATCTTCGCAAGTCAGGATTGAACCCTACTCCATCTCTGTTCTCTTGCTTCGTCCTCCATCTCCAACATCACTTTCTGCTTCAAGTCACAATTTCCATCTTCTTCATCTCCGACGAAACCCAACTTATTTTTAACATGAGCAGAGACATTTTTTGGTTGTTTTCTTCATCTTCAGTGTAACCTAAGCTATTTCCAATGAGACATTTTCCGGTGAGACCATTTGCGTTAAGTGTTTTTTCCAGTGATTGAACACTCTTTGATCTATTTTCTTTCTCTGTTTTGATTGTCTTTGGAATGACGGTCATCTCGCAATAACAATTTTGGAGTTGGCCACGAGATTGACTACTATGCTACAAACTATAGCTAAATAAACAAGGTTATTCTATGATCAGGCATTGGGTATATCACATTGGAACCTGACAGGACTAGTGGATCCAAATTTAGTAAAGATCAGATGCTGAACTTGAGCCCAAAAGGGCCCATCATGTGGAGAGTGTATTGTAGGAGCAAGAGGGGCCATACAAGAGTTAGCTAGTGTTAGAACCATGGCAGAAGAACATATGATTGATACTAATAAGAAACCTAAAATGTGGAAGGTTTATGTTAGGAGGAAGGGTAGGGAGGAGTCAACTGCTAGTTAGTTGTTAATATGGTTAATAGATCCTATAAACAGAGTTAGATTCTAGTTTAAGTCAGGTTTTTCTTTCTGTAAATGTTGTTTAGGGAGAAGTCATTCTCTGTTTAGGAGCTGACAGCTCTGGGGGGTTTCTTGTAATCCTAATTCTTTCTAAAGTGATCAATAAAATTGTCACTACTCTTCAGTCTTTTCTTTGATTTTACTTCCCAGAACCCTAACAGCTAGCATCATGGCTTGTTTGTTAGAGCTAAGGGGTATTCTGTTATGCAAGGGGATTTAGGATAGTGGGGGGTAGAATGATTATGTCATGCTTTTGATACCTAAGTAGTTGACAGAGAATTGTTCTCTGAATGAACCATTGGCACTGGACAACAATCTGTAGTGTTTCCTTTCACCAGAAGAACTCTTGAGCCCCTACTTCTGTTGAACAATTCAAGTATTTTCCTAAGTTCAGTTTTGGGTTTCTATCAGAATTCAGAACCATTTTTTTAAGCACCAATGAACAAAGTATTTGGACATGCACATGCAAACAGCCAATAAGCCAACAGCCTAATATGCTTTACCTATAGAAAATGGCTTCTCATTGAATAACATCAGTCCACTACATTAGATTGGATTGAAATTACAGGGTTTTAGGCATTGAGGGAGGAAATTGAGAGAATAGAGACTGAGTAAGATTTTTTTGAGTTTGTTTTACAATGTGATACAAAACATAAAATTAAAAATAAATCATCTTAGCTAAATAAAGAAACAAATCATGAGATAATAAATATGAAAACAAATCCTAAGATATAGTGGTGTTTTGGTCTGAAGGTTTGTGGGTGGTGACTTGAAGGTGGCTAAAAAGAGACAGATTGTGGTCGGACAGCATCAGTGAGGATGAAAGACTGCCAAGAGACTGGACGTTCATGACATCTGGCTAAGGAGATCTTGATTGGTTGTTGGCAGTAAAAGATAAAGCCAGAGGGCAGCTAGCAGTGGTACACCTAAGGCCGAACAGCAGCAGTTAGAGGCAGAAACTGCTGAACAAGAGGCCAGAAGGATGACATAGCAAGGGGTGATTAGAAGAAATCAATTAGAGCTCCAGATTTTAGGATGGACAGTTATGGAGGATACCCAGATTTTATAAATTGAGAAAATTGACTTCGAATAATATTTTCTTGGTTATTGTGATGTGTTGCAATGTGATAAAAGTACAACACATAAAGCATTAACCCTTTTTTATACTAATACTAAAATTAGATCAAATTCCAAACTAAACACGGGAACAAATCATGAGATAATAGAGATAATATATGATCAAGATGACATTGGATATATTTCAAATACTCAACATATGAGAATTTCTGCTATCAAGAATCCCAATGGAAATGGAGAAAAGAAAATGATGATAGAATTCATTGACTGAAATTCAACAAAACAAAGAAACTACCCTCCAAGGTGTTCCCCCTTCCACAACTCAGCATCTATCAGATGTTTTAAACCTCTTGCCCTTTCCTTGAATGCTTCTCCTGTTCCACTATTTCTGCTGGCTGTAGAGCTTGTAGGGGATGGACCTGCTGTTGGTTGTGACTGTGGGCACCCAGATCCTGTTCCACTACTACTTGCTGTGCTGACTCCAACTTTAGCCATAGCCTGATTCTTCTCATCAATAAATTGAGCCTTTCTCATCATATCTGAACAAGGTTTGAGGCTCATGCAACTTTAATTCTGCCCGAATCTCCTCCCTCAGCCCATTCAAGAAAATCCCTTTTAAGTAATATTCATCAATAGCTCTTAAAGGACCTGCATATAGTTCAAACTTCTCTCAACTCATCCAGTGGTACTTTGTTTCAGACCCAGCAACAGTTCAAAAGGGTTTTGCATCATATAAGGATGAAATCACCTAATCGCTGCTGAATTAAACCCCTCCCAAGATGGGTTTTGCACATACGATTCCCACCACTGAAACCAACCAAGCACCCTTTGATCCATTGAAACCATGACTACCTGAAATTTCTCTCCACCTCTTTGAGGTGGAAATAACATTTCACCTTGTTGACCACTTGACCCACCCATAAGCTTCTTCACCTCCAAAAATAAGTATTTCCACCCACCTCCATCTTTCACCTGACTGACTAGGACTACGAAGTCCCCAGACCTGAATTGCTCTTCTTTACCAGTTAAGGTCCTGTCCCCTCTGTTAACCGTTACCCATTTTCTGCAAGATGCCTTCTAACAAGTCTTCGATCTTCATCATGTGAACTTCTTGGGGCTCCCAACATGTTTTTTTGAATTTACCTCTTTTCCTCCAAGATTCAAAATTTTTCTCGACATTTCCTAGTTGACCTTCCATCCTAGTACAAGAAACTCCTTGGTATTGGGAGCTCTAATACCAATTTATAGGAGCCTAGTATCCTTATTAGGATACATGGGGGAAGAAGTCTACAATTCACAAAACAGAGCACACACACACTGCAGAACTTCGAGGATCTGCACCGCCCAATGTCAACAGGACCTAATTTCCTCTCACAAATGACAAGACATTGCTCTCTTAACAGCCCATCATTTATTGGCAGCTTGCCTTATGTTTTTCAACCAACAAACTTAACTAACTAATGGGTATCTATCACCTAGCATTCAGAAACCAATCTCTTATGTGATTAAAAGTAATAGGTAAAATGGTATATGATATTATTCATGGAATTTTGCAACAGCCATGTTAGTGTGTAAAATCAATGGGCCCAATGCATAAAGCAATGTAGAAAAAGACCAAGGTTACCTTATCTCATCTCCATTTGTTATATTTTCAGCTTCTTGTGCACGTAACTTCTTTCTAGAACGCATGAATTCATAGACCATATCTGTCCAGCCACATGACCTCAAAACTGATTTTGCCTCTTTCCCAAGACTGGGTAATGTTTAGAAAACACAGTATCAGAATCAGGCATATAATGAATTTTTTTGGAGAAACAGTATCTGAATCAGACATGTGACAAATATTTTGGAATGTAAAGGTGTCCTAACTGATTGTCAAAGGAAACAGGTAAATATATGGGAAATAGAGAAACAAGTTTGGGCATTGGGCATGCATAAGATGGAACATACACGAAGATTTCAATACAGTATGAATCAAGACTAAGATATCCTGAAAAAAATTAATAATAAGAAATGAGAGCGGGGGGAGGGAATTGTTCAGCGCTTGCACAAGACAGATCAGATTTTTCTATTCTCATCCAGCAGTACTAAGACTTCGTGATTAAATGCTAACATTAACTAACTTTGTCTAAAGACTGTAAACCCAACTACCAAAGTCACTATCTCAGCTATGAAACATTGTCAAAAGTATATGCTGAATTGCTGATTTATTTCAATGTATATCAGAAAACATAATGCATAGCTAGGAATCATTCAAAATTAATTTTTTATTTAACCATAATTTGTAAGAAAAAAAGAGTCAGTATGTCATACATTTGCTTCAGTTCTTGAACTCTTGCTTGAGACTGACCATCATGTGCAAGCAAAATGCATGGGGCGTCCTGTACCTTTCTCTTATTTCCCAATATGTCAGGTTTATTGTTGAGGCCATTGCTTTCTTGCTTAAATTTGTCAGGCCCTTTACCTGCTCTTACCCTGCTTCTATCAGTATCTTCTTTGGGATTTGACTTTACAGGATGGCTATCAACTGTCTGATTATCAGTGTGTCCATTTGTCAGCATCGATTCCTTTCTTTTTGATTTCTCAGCAACATCAACTTTAATTTTGTCAGTGCCATTCCTGGTGGGTAATGATGAAGGATCTTTCTTACCATTCTCCAAAGAAACCAAGTGTTTTGCATGTCCATTTATTAGTAAGGGTTGACTCCTAGAAACATCAACTTTGCCATTGACATTTACAGGAGAAGGATTTCTTTTGGAAGTAGAACTTCCATTAATATCAAACTTCACTCGTGAGCTGGAAGGCCCTTTGGCAGGCTTAGGTACACTTGATATATCCTTCCATGGAGATTGCTCAGAATTCAATTTTGGATGCACTGTTTCCAATGGTACATCAACCTTTGGACACTCAGATGCCTGGCTCTGATTGCAATGAGGTTTTACACCGTTTGAAGCAAGAGGATTACTAATTGACACTGGCCTTTGGTTAGTTCGAGAGAAAAAAAGAATATAAACCTTTTCTGACAAAACTTCTTGCAAGGTTGCAACTGTTACACAAGAATCATCACAGCAATACCACCGACCCATTGCATCCTGTGACCAGAATAGGAAATTAGATTATGGCCACAATTAAAAGTTATTTAGCAATCAATGTATTAGCAACATAATTTGTGCAAAATGAACTATAAACTCACAAACCTTTATATAAGCATAATAGTGACCAGATTCAGGGGAGTAGCCTGAATGCACAATTGTACCAAACAGCTTATATTCTGGTTGTGGATCCTATATGAATATAAAATGTTAGGAAGGAAGATAGATAAATATAACAATAGAATGCAGTAGAAAAAAAAGAACTCAGGCAACGTTGGCCATGTTGCACCATTCGTACAAAACATCAGCTTAATTTGGAAAAATACTGAACCTTTATTGGCCTTCACCAAGCAATTTATGTTTTTTTACTGTGAGTGGTTCATTGGTAAATAGTATTTTAGCCTCTTTGAAGTTTTGCCAATTATTTTGAAGTCATAAACTAACCACTTCTTTTTGCAATTAAATAATACCACAATGTATGACTTTGTATATATAATAATGGATAATATTGGATAGCTCATGTCCTATACTCATCAGCCCAGTGCATAGGTCAAAAGCTTTTTTTGTGTATATATAGCCTAAGTTAGCGTATAATAAGCAATTTCACCTATTAGTTTCCACATGAAGTATGAAAGGAAACTGAACAAAGAAAAACAAATTTAATAGAGATTAAAGAATATTTATAATTTTCACGTATTTCAAACCTCTATAATTAATGCTTCCAATATTTCACAAGAATAACAACAATAAAATCTTATGCCAATAAGTAAAGTGGGCTACATGGATCACATAAGAGCATTGAGTTCGGTCAAAAACCAACAACAACCAAACTTTATCTCATTAGGTGACTACGCGGATCACATAAAGACATTGAGTTCGGTCAACAACCAAATTCTCTAAAATATTATTTATTGCTAAAGCTTCCCATATTTCGCATAGATTACAATAGCTTTGAATATAACAAAGCTAAAGGCGTAATAGTGAATATTTTATTTAACCTTGAGAAGTTCACCCACACAATAATCCCTTTCAATAAGACAAATGACTGTCTAAGTTCAATAAAAAAAAGACATCATTGGCACTCTTATGTCACAAGAGATGAAAGGGATTTCTCACTCAAACCAGAGTATACCCAAGATCTCCAAATTAAGATATAGAGAGCATACCTAAGATCTGACAAATATGTCACATTGATATATAGTAACTTCTAAAATTCATATTAACATACAACATCAGCAGCAAGTCTTATCCCATAGGTAAGGTTGGTTACATGGATCACACAACACCTTTGAACTTTGTCAAAAACCCAAGTTTCAAAATTCTAATTAGTCAAAAGGTATATTTTAATAACTTTATTTAAGGTTCTTTTGAGTCTCCTCAACTACTTTTTATAGAGCTAAAACCGTGCACTTTGCTCTCATTGGTACCTCCAAAAGTCTTCTCTGCACATGATCAAGTCACCTTGTATGGTTTAAGGTCATCTTTTCCACTATTAGTATTGCTCCAATATTCTTATGTATATTATCATTTTTTATCTTTTTTTTTTTCATGCGACCACTTATTCACTTTAATATTCTCATTTCTCTCATTCCTCACTTGATTCTCATGTTATTCCTTTAAGACCCAACATTCACTACCATATAGGATAGTTGGTCATATTGTAATACGATAAAACTTTCAATTTGATAAATACTTTACAATCACAAATAATTTTTTATGTATTTATTCACTTTAACCACTCAACTTTGTATTTTATAAGTAACATCTTCATTAATTTTTCTATCATTTTGTAGAATCCATCATTTTTCATAATTTTTTCAACTTATGATATAATATCATCTCTAATTTTAATTTCCAATACATGATCCTCGTCTTATTTTTTGCTAAACTTATAATGTATATACTCTATTATTTCTACTGTAGTGAAAATCCTAAGATTCTAAAGTCTTTTTCCATAACTAAGTTTAGCATTAAAATTCATATTAACATATCTAGGCCATATTAGTCATGGTAGTCAAAATCGTGTTTTGGATCGTAGAATAGTACGATTCTACGATCTCCATCCATGCCTCCGTGCTGAATCGGTGCTGGGAACATGAAATGGTGGGATGAGTGGGATTGTTCTTGCTGGGTCGTAAACTCGTTGAAGACTTGCAATTCTGACGCGCAGAGATGAAGGCGTTTTGGGCCAACACCCACGACCCGACCCGACCCGACATCATTAAAGCTTTTGGAACCCTAGAATCCCATAACTCCGCACTGTGACTTCTTCCTTTCTTCTTCACTCTATTCTGCGAGATTGGGCATCTTTATTGTGCGACTTCTCTGCGAGGCTTCAGCGATTGCAATTCGGCTCCGACGACTGGGCTTAGCTCTAGCGACTAGATTTTTTCTGTGATTTGGTCTAGGATTTTCTGCTTTCTGTGCTTTATTTTTTCTTCATCATCTTGGCTACTGCGTGTGATTGGGATTTTCTTCATTTTTTGCTTTTGTGCTCTGCTTTCTGTTTTTTGTTCTACTGCAGTCTGCTACCATTAGATAAAATGGCTTCAACTAGTAGTCAAGCTCCTCCCTCTAAGGCCAGGAATTACTCGTTTTGCTACATCTTATTTGACTCTAGGGTGCCTTCAAGAAAATAAAGCTGCTTTGATAAGAATGTTAACATCTAATTAATGGAAGTCCTCTAAGTTTGCTAAGACAAAGGATGGGAGAGTTATAGAAGAATATAATCACTTGTTTGAAGGCAGCATTTCCTCTTATCAGAGTTCTTCGAATGGTTGATTTAAATGAAGAAACTATGGGCTTTATTTATGAGGCAATGGATCAAGCTAAAGAGAATATTTAAATTGCTTTCAATGGTGTTAAGAAAAGGTAACTAACTATAACTACTATCAAATTAAATTAGGCTCTATTTTGTGATCTATGTTGTATTGTATATTGAATCTTTGTTATTTGCTCTTTATAAGTTATGTACCTATATGGAATATCATAGATGAAAGATAGGATAAACAGCTCCATAGGCCTTTGCATGTTGCATGTTATTTTCTTAATCCTAGGATGCACTATAGTCCTAAATTTAAGACTGATCTTGAAGTTAAGCGTAGACTATATGATTGTTTGACAAGGATGGTGCTTGATTAAGATGAACAATGTAAAATTGATTGTCAACTTGATTCATTTAGAAAGCAAGCTGGTAATTTTGATAGTCACTTGGCTAGAAAAACTATTATGCGTCTGCCAACTGATTGGTGGATGTCTCATGAAGATGAGCATCCTGAGCTTCAAAGATTTGCTATTCAACTACTAAACTTGACATGCAGTTCTTCTGGATATTCCTAATATAGACAACTTGGATTTAGATCAAGGTTCAAATCAAGATGTTGGTGTTGGTGATGTTCCTAATATAGACAATTTAGATGATGGACCAAATGAAGAAGATGGGCCAAATGAAGATGATGAAGGAGATGACGAATTTTTTTATTATCAAAATATTTTAGATATAATAAAATAGATATTTTAAGTTTGGATATTGATTTTGTATTTGGTTTGGAACTTTGGAATATATGTTGGACATGTTCTTAATATTCATCTTTTAAAGTACTGTGGTTTGAATTAATATTTTTATTTTCTTTCTATTTATACTATTTTATATGTATATACAATTTTGTAAGATCTTACGTTCGATGTTACGATCCTGAACTCTCTCTCTGATCCTACGTAAAATCTCGATTTTGACTACCATGATATCAATTCTTGAATTTCTAAGATTTTTCAACATCTCCATATCCGTGTCCAACTGTACCCATGTCTTGTTAAATATATAGGCTTCATAGTTCAAAAACTCACAAGGAATTTTTTTTTATAACCAAAAAATTGCCAAAGGAAGCCTTGTATTACTATTCACAGAAAACTACATAGATAGTCTCATAAAGTATACATCAATAGCACAAAAAATAGATGTTCAGGAAACCCTTCCATGTCATTATATATGATTGTAACCTTCTAGCTATCAAGATTCAGACTAATCTCATGCAATAATAAATTTTGAAACTACAAATTACACAAAGGTATTTCCAATTTGACCTCAAATCTTTCAAATACTACTCTATAATCTAGATGGCTCACATATCCAAAAACACATAGAGGCAAATCATAAAGATAAACAAACAGTGGGCTGCCAAGCAATGTGCATTTCTAAATATTGAGTTCCATTTCTTTGGTTTTGTTGTAATTTTTATTTCATCTTTCTTGTCAAGAACATCTTATCCTCATCTCTTTGAATCTCTCCTCTTTCAAAATGACTTTTCTTTATAATAATAATAACAACAAAAACAGTAAATTGGAAAGACAGGAAACTGTAATATCAATCATGTCTCCTTTTTTAAACAAAATTAGCATAAATAAGCATGGCAAATCATTGGAAGACTTCAACCAAGACCTCCCCCCTCTGACTTTTAGGTCATGAAGGTTAAGTAGAAAAACAAATTTTGGGAGACTGTTCACAGGCATAAAGGAAGAACTAGTCATATTTCTCAGTAGCATGGTTTAGGGAAACTTCAACAGTCTTGCTCAACAGGTTTCTTCACTTAAGCTACCGTTCCACAACTTAGTTGTACCAATAAAGTTGCTTGACATGGCAAAAAAAATAAGCAGTGGTTCCTTCTATAAGAAACCGGTTCTTGTGAGAAAATGGGGTCCAGTGCATGTACAAAGATGGGCAGAACTAGAATAGTGAGAGACAAGAAAGTTATGGGAGAGTCGCACAGTTAGACAGAAAAGTTGCTTAAAATGGTATAAAGTATAAATGAGACGAGTTGAATAGACCTCTTAAAAAAATTATAAAATACTAAGCTATGGAATTCAGTGTAGCTGCACGGTTAAAGTTATTCTTACACACTTTTTATGTCTTAGGAAGCATGTATGCAATATGACACAGAGAAGTCCATAGGGCTTTGATAATTTTAAAATTACAAGACATATAACCAACTAACCAAGCTATAATAAGATGTATAAAATTAATATAAAATCAACATAAAACACAAAAATAGATCAGAAGAGAAAAAGAAAATGTTTTAAAGGTAAGCATGAGATATTGTAGACATAATAAAATGCTATAATTTATCTAATTACTGTCATTCCCATCTGTATAAGTTTAACAAATTAAAGTAAACAAAAAACAAAAGACAGAAAAGAGTGTTTGAGACATCCAACTTAGATGCAGGTACTACAAGGACACGCTACTATTCTGGCATCAGTGCTTCCTTGATCATGTTAGGGTGTGCATCCATGTGAAAATGACAAAAATAGGCACTCCCCTTGACGGTAATTAGTTCAAAACAAACACCGAACATACCTGACTTGCTTTGCACATGAAGCTAGAAAGCACCAAAACCTCTTCAAATGCAACAGCCTTGTCAATCTTGCCACCCAATATGCCCTCAAATCTCTGCACTCCAAATTTCACCAACACACCATCATTCAAAACTACCAAGTCATCACTAATCCAAACAATCCAATAAATAAATAAATAAATAAAACCAACCTTTAGTTGTATCACAAGAATATTAGGTGCTTGAAGTATGGACATCTGCTTCTTCGCTGCCACCAATTTCTTACAACTGAAAAAATTTCACCCACAATGTAATCTTCTCAATAATTCAAACACGCACTCACGAAACACACACAGAGACACAAAGACACACATCCTCTCAGTGACTAACCTGTCACACTTGTACTTATTGTTGCCATCTAAAACCTCAGGCTGAAAGAACTTTTGCATGGAGTCTCTAAGCGAGTTACTATGGAAAACATCAAGACTAATATCCATTATCTCATCAACCTTATTCGACTCATATCCACAGCACAGACACTTCACCTGGCTCTGCAAGGCTCCGCCAAAAATTTCCTTCACCACGCTCCCGCCACCATCACCGCCACCACCGCAATCGCCGCCTCTCCGGCGAAGCTTCTTGAGGCGGAGACAGGTGTTGTGGCAAGCATCAATGACGTAGCGGAGGAACTCGTGCGCGTCCTCCTGGCGGCCACAGCGAAAATGCTCGGCGAAGATCCGAAGACAGCTCTGGATCTTGGAAGGCGCGTCGTGAGGGAGATCCAAGCGAAGAGAACGCGCAATCTGCTTCTCCAGTATACAGAAAGGACAAGAAGAAGTAGAGGAATCACCTGAATCGGAACGGAAGAGGAAAATTAGGTTAGGAAAGAGAAAATTGAGAAAACGAAGAGATGGAAGGTTACGCACAGTGAGTGGAGTGTTGTAAACGGAGGCAGAAATTGGCGAGAGGAGGAGTGTAGGTGAGGCACTGAAGGACGCTGTTGAGGTAGCACGAGTTGCCTAGGTTTCGGAGCCCTAAGGGAGCACCGGTTTTGCGTTTCTGACTCAGGAGACTCGGCTGCCAAGTCATCTGCAGGGCCATCAACGACGACGGCGACCACCGTAACCCGCCGGTGCATTGGCCGTTGATGGGGAATTCAACAACACTGACCACCGCCGCCGCCACCGTAATCGCATCTCTCTCTCTCTCTCTCTCTCTCTCTCTCTCTCTCTCTCTCTCTGGGCTTTTCAGTTTTTTCCCTCTCTTTGTTGGCTTTGTTTTATTTTTCTTTTTCTTTTTTTCTAGCGGGTTCTTACGGGGAAGGTTATAATATTGGGAAGAAAAAAAAGGTAATGTATGAGTGAGAGAACTAAGAACTACTACCACCAGTGGGGAACAAGGAATCAATGAATGAATGGAAAATTCTCAATTTTTTATACGAGGCTGATAATAATTTTTCTGGTTTTATTGGGTTTTTTTTTTTTTTGTAGTTGGGAGTTTGCTTTAATTGCTTTTTTTTTTCTTCTTGTTTTCACTTTTTATCATTGATATGTTTATTTAAAATTTAATTTGAATAAACTGATAAGATAAAAAAAATTATATATTATTTAATCATAAATTATCATATCATTAAAGATTATTAATTTATATAATAAATAATATAAAATTATATTTATGATATATTTAAATTTATTGAGATTATATCAAAATTAATTTTATTTATTTACTCACGTAATTATTATTTTTAAGCTAACTCTAAGTGAGTTCTTTTTTTTTCAATTTTATTGGGTTTTTTTTATTTTTCATTTTTTTCATATCAAATTGTTTTCATTACTTATATTTTATTTTATAAATAAAAAATAGTACTTCCAAAAGCAAAAACTTATGCAATTGGATCAAATCTAAAATTTATTTTTCTATAATTATGTTAATATTAATTATTATGATAAATTTTCAACATTTAAAAATTGCTATCTTTAATTATAAAAGAATGTATTTATTGTAGTTTTACATTTCAGATATAATATACTTTATTTTAATAAAAAAAATACTCATTTATAGGTTCAAAATCAATCTTAAAAGCTAATATTAATATTTTCTTAATTAATATTATTTTATAAAGAATTCAATTGTGGGTTAGTAAAAAGAAAATTGATTTGATTTTGGTAAGCGGACTTTGATAGATAGTTTATAAAAAAATACAAGATAAGTTTGAATATTAATTTTATATTGAGACTTTGTCCTTATCAATGGTATATTAATGATTCCTATTTAATGAGAATAAAATTATTGCTATATTTTATTTTAAAATGATAAAAAAAAGTATTTTTCCTAGTATATTTTATTAGAAAATAATAAAAACTTTAATGCATACTTACAACGTCTCTTTCTTATACAATAGTTATGTAAGGACAAATTAAATTAAGGAAAAGGAAAAAATAAATAAAAGAACATGAGAGAGTGCATGAGAGGGAGAGATCCAACAACCCCAGAAGAATAGTTACTATTCATATATGTATATCTTTCTGTGGCCTTGAGAAGCCTTTGAAAAGTCATGTGGATGATTGTGGGGAGGCCTTATTGGTTGATTCCCCTCTTCACCTCTCGTTCCTTGATCATTACTTCAGTTTTTATGTCCCTTCATGTAGCTTTGATTTTGGTGATAGGGTACTAGTGGTTCGTTAGTTCCATTTGTATATTTGTGCTCCACTGAAATAACATAAATTCTCTCTCTTAATATGTATTTAAGTAGAAATATTAAATTCATTGATAATTTGAATTATTATAAAATATATGCATTAAATATTTTTATGTTTTAAAATAATAAATATTTTACAATTAACAAATTGTTGATAAAACTTTCAACGTGTTCCTTCATTTGTGCATATCTGACCTTTAAATGGCTTTTTGGATTATTTGTGCATAGGCAAAGTTGGGGTCCACAAATACCCTGAACTGTTTGGGAGCTGATATGGCTGAAGATTGAGTAAAAATTCAAGCCATGGTAAACAAGAAAATTAACAAGATGAAGTAAAAGCATATTCTACGAGTATTGGTCACCAACTTCTCTCAACTTTGCATTTTGGATTGGAATCACCTCTAGATGGTAATCAAAGCTTGCTGTTTGACACGTTTTAGTGCCTAGATGGTGTTAGCCAATGGCTACCAATATTTCACAAAAATCCTTCCTCTAAAAGGTCACAAATCTAGGAAGCCATTAGTGGGTCAACAAAAATCTCTTAGCAAAGTTACATGAGATTATCTCTGATTGAATTGAATAACAAATTTGTTCTTTTCTTCATATTGTCTAGTTTAATATTCTAGCTATATGTTGAAATTTGGAATAACGCGGGGTACTCGATTACTTTGACATTTATGATTTTACTTATTATTTATAAATCATGGTTGATATAGTTTGGATTTTAGATCACTTTTTCTTTAAATAAAAAATGCATAAAAAACAAATTTTCTTTTACAATTTATATATTCCCTCTTTTCTTTGTTAGTTTTTCTTCTCGTCTTCGACATCCAACCATTGTAGTACAAGGATCGGGCTGGTGTGTGCATCATTTCATGCAACCTTGTTAACAGCAACAAAGAAACTGTCCACCCCTACTTATCCAAATATATTTTTTATATTTAAAATTATAAAAATCAATTGTCACTTTTTTCATTTATAGTCAAGATTGTCGTGCTTAAATTTAACCTTGACTATTCAATTTTATTATATTATTACAATTATTTTTTATCATACTCTCATTTTTTATCTAAATAATAATTAAATTAAACGAAAGATAATATTTTTCAATATTTAAAGTTATTTTAACAAAACAAAATATAGATTTCAGCTCAAAATAAAATATAAAGTTTGTAAATATACGACTCTTAACAATCATGTATACACACACAAAAGGATATTGTAGTAAATTTACATTATTTGTTTTAATATATATATATATATAGGAATAAGATCTTTTTACAACGGTGTAGTCTAAAAACTCTTATATCTAATATAAAATTTTCATTTAACTTATATCTAATGAGTTATAATTTATTACTTCACTGACGATTAGATTTAAGTTAAATAAAATGTTCAAATTAAGTGTAAAAATTTTTAGACTTATATTATAATAAAAAGATCATTTCTCATATATATATATATATATATATATATATATATATATATATATATATATATATATATATATATATACACATAAAGAACATCTCAAATTAGAGGAGTTTGTTATTATAAGAGGTGAAAAACATTAATAATAACCATTGAATCAAAATAAAGAACTTAAATTTAATGTTATTATCCCACTATTTACTTTCTTTTCTCTCTTGTTAATGGTCATTATTAATGTCTTTTACTCCTCACTTGAAATGTCCCTATATATATAATGCATAAAACAAATATGCATCAACTAGCAAACAATAAAGAAAACAAAAAGTTATGATGTGAATCATGTGATGATTCATGTACTTTTACTGTGTAGTTTCTCAAGTCTCTCAATGTTCATCAAACACGCCCAGGAAACTGAGGAAAGTACTATGAGATGATCACAAACTAAAATGAACCTCAGCTTTGCCCTCGTTATACTGTCTAATTTAAAAGAACTTAGATGGGTAATTAGAGGCAACAGGCGAGGATGCAAAAGTTAGAGCTGAAAAGGGAGATTTTTGTTTTCTTAGGCTTCGGTAGCAAGTGACTTTACACTACACTGCACTAAAAAAAGGAACCAAAATTCAATCAAAACACTGAAAAAAATAAAAAACTTCATCATGTAGTACATTAATCTGCATAAATAGAAGTCTAAATATGCACATCGAAAATTATTAACCATGTTGTCTGCAAAAGGTTTAGAGTTCAAATTTTAAGCCTCCGCCTCCTCACAAGAACAAGGAGAAGACAGACCTACTGGTAGGAAAACAGTATAATTTCCTGGTCCATAACATACTATACTTTAACATATGGCAATGCTAGCTTGTTATCTCCAGATTATAATCAATTACTTATGCAGGCATAGGGGTCAAACAGTATTGCCTCCAAAATTAATATGATTCAAGTACACGACATATAGGATGAAACATTCGATTTTAACTTTGAGCAAAATACAAAATCTTTGTCTTCCCCTATGACTACAATGAACTAGTGAGAACCAACGACATAAATTCACAAAAAATAAATTCCACTGGAGCAAAAATTCCCAACACTGAAACAATTTCTCAGAATTTCAAATACAACCGATACATTTTAAATAAACAAACAAATTAATTCTATAAGATTTTATCTATGCAACAAACTCAAGTATATACCCCCTGGTTACTAACCCAACTTGAAAGAGTGAATCGCTAAGATTGTTGTAATTGCTTCAAACAAATAATCATTGAGAAATGTGAACGATGTCAAATTCCTCAAAAATCAAATTCCATGGCCAACCTCTATTTTAAAGGATAAAGTTTGTATATTACATTTTCACGTACTACATTTCAGAACATTACTTTTCCCAATTTAAAATTAGCTGAAACTGCTTAGAAGATTGAACCAAAATGCTTGCTTATACTTTTATCTACTACATGAACATTTGATGCCCTTTTGCTACATTATGTGGAACTGTGTCGTTATGTACTATATGTTGTCATCAACTTCTGAATACAGGATGGACACTGGAAGAGATACAAAGAAAAACTCAGTCTATAAGAGGAAGCAAAATTGTGGGAATAAAAGACGATATTTCAAATACATTATTTACATACCTTGAGTAACTCAAAGACTGCTACTATCTACTTGTTAAAGGCTGAGACTCTTCTTGCCTTTGGGAAGACTCATGCTCAGAAGCATCAGGTGTGTCTCGAGAGGCTTCTTTTTTCAACTTGAAATTATTATATGCTGCTACCCCCCCAATAGCTGGATGAAAATTTAAAAAAATGTTTACAGAAACTGCTCTTTTCTTCTTAAGTGACATTTAACATTATTCATAATTGCTTCAAATCCAAGCCATACAATTGTTGCAATTTTTAATTTGTATCATTCAGCCTTTGATTTGAGTGAAGCCTGCACACTTCTCTAAGAAATACATTGTCAAAAATCAATCAAATCCCTAGCCTTTAATCAACTCAACAAATTTCCAGTGTTCACACCCTAGATTACTACATCGGTGAGTATTATTTTCATGGTTTGAGACCTTCAATATCTGAAAGTCACTTTAGATCCAGATTATCCAAGCTGTTTTTTCATCCAAATGACTTGAATCCAGACATTCCTAAAGAAGAACCAAGCTTCTTACCCCCTGAACTGACAGGCATTAGTGGACAAAATACAGAGTACGTTACATCACTCTCCATTCTCCACCCTCACCCTAAAATAGGATACCTGACAGAACCACGCATATAAACACAGTTCAGGTTGCTGAGAGTGAGTAAAGAAAGAAGGCCTTACAAATATATTTGCATAGGCCTAAATCCCATGCCCAAAAATAGTTAGGAGGGAAGGTCAAGGTGCCTGTTGTTTGTGTCAAGGAAGGAAAGTAAATTATGGAGAGAGAAAGTGAATCCAATTGAAGGCAATAATTCCTACAGGGATGGGGGTTATGTCATTGGTAGGATTCAGATTCTCCAGAGTTAAAAAATAACTGCACCACCATGCAGTTTGAATCCAACAGTTTACCCGAAAGTTTCATATTTAAAATTCTTTTCTGTTTACAAAACTAATCATTTTCATGGCTTACATCCTCTGCAGTTATTTTCTGAACAGTAGAGGATCCTGATCTGTCTTTGGGTAATAGTTCTCAGCTTATCGCTTTGAGCCTGGGAATCCACTTCTTGGCCACTGAGCTTCTGCTTTTATACATAACTGTGTTTTGTATACTTAATATCCATTAACACAGAGTCCCATTAATTTCATTCCCATCAATAACATCCTACTAGTTAATCTCCAACGACATTAGAAACCTGACTATTAATTGATCTTAGAATTGCTCACATCAATTTCCAAAATCAAGGACTATATACTTTTCTAACTTATATATGCTAATATGCATACAGGCTTCCAGAGAGCACCCAAAACTACTTTCCTGGACTGTGGCATAGTAGCAGTCCACTACAGCATTTGCAGGAAATCTAATGAAAGTTTCTCAAAAGCTAATGAGAAAGTAAAATTAGAAGGTCAAACAGAATCAGATACTTACCAATTGCATAGCCAAACAAATTGATCATTGTTAACTTTGTATCAGCAAACAGAACAGCAGAAAGCAGGACAACCACCCAATCCTTGACAACGCCAGCAACACGAATGGTTAGAGCACTCGTATGTGTAATCACAAGGAAAACTGATAAGTTCAGGGCAAAAGTACAAAGGCAGTTGAGGATAAGCAAAACAGGGGGGAAGTTCCATGGTCCATGTTCATCCATCCTCGGTTTCTCTAGAAATATCCATGGAAGGAATAAACAAAGTGCACTGCAGAAGAATCCAAAATTATTTTTATAGGAATTAATTCACAGTACATAGAATTTATTGAAAAACTTGCGTAACAGTAAGTAAAATTATGAAAAGAAACACTTGCCTGCAGGGACTAACATAATACATCACAGATATGGGATTCAACTTAAGACCCTTCCTCTTAACAAAAATCTCCATGAATATAAGTCTTAGAGCTTCTCCAACAACACCTCCCATTTGGTAAACTACTCCAATCCAGTTTATATTTATCTCTCCATAAGAAGCTACTAGAACACCAAAACTAATCACTGACATGATTAAAAGCATTTTGCAGCTCATTACTTCAAGTCCTGCAGCTACTCCAAGCACAAATACAGCTACAGGCACTGTGATTGACAATTGAAGAACAAGAGCAAGTATGCAATTAGTTGTCATATTAGACAAAAAATAAAGTGTCAATATATAACCACCATACATTGTACAACTATGGCAAGTTGATTAACCAATAGCTCGGATGTTCAAAATGGCTAAAGACACCTCACTATTGTCAAGAACCAACAAGATAACTGCAACTTACTAATTGCCTTCAGCATTTGAGCAAACGCAACAGAAATATACAGATAGGCAGTATTTCCCAGCCAAAGAGTCATTGCAAACATGGCCCCAATTGGCACTACTGAAGTAGCATATCTGGAACAATTAAGATATTGTTACAACTGGAATGTGGAGACATCATAAGTATTTAATGCAATCGACTATTAAGCAATATAGCCTTGATGTTAATTTTATATATAAAACACTTAGAGACACTTGCACACACACAATGTATATGGAATGGATAGCCATAACCACTAGCATTCAACCATCCCAGTCCATTCTTACAAATTTCTCAGGTATATTGTCATCCTGTATTCTTCTTTTTCAGGCTGCACTAGCACTCTAGCAGAGTCAGACCAGGAAGATTGTTCCTGTTTAATAAAGATGCACTCTTTCTTTCTTTTTACAATATCAGTGTAACAGAATGTCATAATATCTCACTTTTAACATTTTAGTCACCAACAGCCAGAGAAGGTATGACAAAACCAAAATCGTTCCATATATAAAAACCTAACAAATCAGCAATAATCTACAGAAAACTAATTCATTTACTCACATTTCAGGAGTCATTCCCTCCTCAACCTTCATAACCTGCAAAAAACAATCCAATAACCCTCATCACATAACAGTAACATACTAAATATGACACACGAACCACAGACACAGACACGTACCTTTAGAATCTTGGTTAATACAAAACACAGAACAGAGGAGAAGAGCATGTGAAGTAGAGTCAATCCCAAAGGATATGGGAAGTTGATTTCCTTAGAGGACAAAACCCACTGCAGGTAACAAATTAAAAAAGATAAAATATGCATCAGCTACACAACGACGCCAATTTTTACACATTTACACCTTGATTCATTTCTTAAATCAATCAATCGCCCATAAATTAAGCATAAAACCAAGGTCAAACAGGAGACAACAATACTTCCAGGAATCACTCCAAAAAACAGCCAAACCATAAAAAACCAACAACAAAATCCAAAAAACAAGCGCTGACGCAAGGCATTCGACCATCACCAGTTTAACATGAAAATTTCTGACAAAAGAAAGTATTAAAATTTTATTAATTGCTTCAATTCTCTTACACTGAACCTTACTTCAGAAACAGACAAGATAAAACGTTTCCGTTATAACTGAACAAAACGCTCAACTACCACTCGAAACTGAAAACAAATCATTCATCAGCATATCCAATTCCAATCCACAACACACACATATGTCAAATTTAACCCAACGTCCAAGTACACAAAATAATTTATACAAGAAAATAAACAAATGTTTAAAATAAAATAAAAACACACACAGATACAAAACATCGAATCCTAGCTTCGAAATCAGCACGGAACCAATTTCGCTATAACTTTCCGACAAAGCATTTTCCCTCATTTTCCCGGGAACCAAACAGCATGCAGGAGTTTGAAGTGAATGAAGGTAACCTTGTTGAAGAAAATTTGGCCGCTGGAAAGAGCAATGTAGAGAAGAATGTAGGCGTAGGTCAAGAAACCCTCCTTCTTCGGATCCGCCATTGTTGCAAAGTCACCAATGTTTCTTCCTTCCCTGAATTTTTTTACGTTTTCTCAAATCTGCATCTGAAACCCGATTCTCAAACGGGTCGAGTTCTGACTATCCAAGGCCCAAGAAGATGACGAAAAATGAAGTAAACGACTATGCTGTTCCCCTGCTGCAAATTTGTATTGTAAACTAAAGCAAACAACAAAATTTATAATCCCGTTAATTACTCAATTCATAATCCCGTTTGATTTAACTTTTTTAATTAAAAAAATTGGTTTTAAATTTTTTAAATTACTTTTAAAGTTTTTAATGTGATTATTTAAGGTATTAAAAATTAAATCTGAAAAGAAATCATATTTTTAATTATTTTAGAAATTTGTTTCGGTATCTTTAAAAAATATATAATTATTTCAACATAGAATTTATTTATTTTCCTTCTGTATTAAGAATTACATTTTTAATCTTAATTTTTTATTTCATATATTTTTCATAATTTTTTATTTTATACATGCCTACGCTAATATGTGGATGTGGTGGAATCAGACAGCCACCCATCTAAAATAATTTTAGTCTTTAATTTTATGATGCAATTAATGAGATTAGTCAAAACAGAAACAAAAATAGGTTCAGTCAAAAAGAGAATAATTTGTCTCAAAGACTGAATGGTCAAACTGTTACAGAAAATGCATAATTTATTAAAATTAATTGCACTAATATTAATGCATCATTAAATAATATATATATATATATATATATATATAATGAGTTTAATTTAAATATATTTATAATGTAGAATTTTTTTACTGTTCATATTATAATTAGTTAATAATGTAAAATTTTTATACCGATAGAACATCAACATTAACCTCTTATAAAATATATTATATAATCAACTAAATTATATTATTACATACTACATTCATATAATATATTTATTATAAATTAGTTATAAACTCATTATGAAATACAAATTAAATATCACAAGTTCTCAGTGATATAAAAAAAAAAATTATTGAACGATAATCTTAGTCAAAATACTTTTAATCTACCTATATATAAATATAATTGACTTCACTATAACGTTAATATAGTATTAAATATTACATTTATTAAATATATTAATATAAGTTATTTTTATTTTTCATATATTTAATATTTACAATTTTTTAACTATTAAATATTTTTTTATATTTTCACAATAAAAATATATACACTTTTTTATTTAATATTTACTTATAAAATGGTAAAAAAAAATTATTAAAAAAATATAACATAATTCTATAATATATAATCAACTCAACTATTTAAATGTTCAGTAAAAAGCACATTAAACAAGACACAGGTTGTTTATAATAACAACAGTAGAAATTTATCTTCCTAAATAAGAACACCAAGGTAAATTACACAGTTGTCCTATTTGGATGAATTTATGGATAAGTTTTTGTAAAAAAAAATAAACTATTTTTTTTTCATAAGTTAAAAGTAATTTATCTCTTCAAATTTTAACAAAATTAAATGAAAATAACTTCTAAAAAATAAATTAATTTTAACTAATAGAAAAAAATTTATTAATTTTTTATATTAATTTTCTTCTTTTACAAGGATTTATCAACAAGTTTACCAAATAAGACCAATATTATTTAGCTCAAATAAAGACCGAATTATCTAAATGTTATTTATCATTAAATTTCTTTTATTCTACAGTTTTTTTAAATCTTATTCTACTCTTTTTTTATCGGCTAGAAGTAGTGTTATCATTTCTCCTCACTTTTCCTCATCAATATTTCTAATAGTCTTTTATGTGCATGTTTAAATCACTTTTATTATTTTTTAATCATTTTTTTATTATAGGTATTACTTTAATATTTTAATGTTTATAATTATATTTTATTCTGTCCTTTTTTTTGTTACTTTTTTTAATATTTTCATTTTTTTTTCTTCATGTTATTCATTTGAAGCTTAATATTCATTACTGTATCAGAAAACCGATCACAAGCAAATGATAAAACTTTCCATTCTTTAGTAAGGATATAATTCAATGGTAGTTACTAGGAAAGCTCTTATATAGTTGATGATCGATTGAATCATAATGTATGCCAACTACTATCTTATCAATGTACATATGAATTTTTTTTTCCTTGTTGACCTAATTGAAAAAGACTATGCACCAAATTATGCTCTCGTTGACTGTTGACTTTTTTGCCCTTATAAGGTTAATTTGAAAATAAAATGCCAAAATAAGCATGCATGCAAAGAAATTCTCTATCTGGGTTAGAATGTCAGGTGACAGTGAAGTCGTCCAGCGTAAGGGCGACACTCAAAGTAAAAAGCGTCCACTTATTACACGACACAAATAAAGTCATCCAACAGAGGGACGACACACGTCTGACGTGTCCACAGTGTCGTCTCTATTTGAGCCGACACTAACGTGCTGTTGACACTTGTCGTCACAGGAGGTTGTGTCATTATATATTGGACGATTTTAATGTCGTCCACAATAGAAACGATTTTAATGCTACCATCGGGTAAAAATTTCGATACACTCCTTTGTCCAAGTTAGAATGTGTATATATAGTAGGATGAAGCTTGAAAGAAAATGCAAGTAGCCGGGAAGGAAGTGTGGAGCTGGGCAAGAATAACAGTGTGAAGTTGGACAAGAAATAATAACTATTGAGCAATTAGGTTAGATTTTAAGTATTATAAATATATAATTTATTTTTAATAGTTATGTAGAAATTTTATTTTGAATAATAATATTTAATTTATATTTTTAATGGCTTTTAAATATTAATGTTGTAATTTAATTTTTGTTGTTATGTTTGGAAATAAGGCAGATAACATATAATGTAAAAAATTAAATATTTAAATATTTGTAATTACAAATAAATTTAAAAATATATTTTGTTATATTATAAATTAATTTATAAATAAGCTTGGTTTATTTTAAATGCAGGATGGATGAAATTGTTGTTATATTATATTCAAATGGTAGAATATATGAAGGAAATGAAGGTATAATTTTTGAAAGGCAAAAAAAGATGATTAAGATAGAACGTGAGATCACATTTGAAATGTTTAAACAGAAGATCCACACAAAGCTGAAATTGTCAAGTTGTCACGTAATTTCTAGATTAATTTCTCGAATTTTAGTCGGGACAAATGGTCAATATCATACAACTTTAGATGTATGTGACGATGAAGACATAGATTGCATGATAAGTGCATGTCAACAACCACATCATAGGAATGTAGTTGAGATATATGTAGATGTTGCGGTGGGTGAAATATCTTCTGTTGTGGCACGTCCATTAGAAGTGAATTTATTAGTCCCACAACTTCATGTAAGTGATGATGATGATGATTATGCACAAAGAGAAGGTAATATGAATTTAATAATTTTTAAATTTGAAAAATTAATGCTACAAATGCTATTAATAATATAAGTTTACAATGTACAGATGAAGATGATGAAGAAGATATTTCATTAAATGATTTTTCTGATACTGAGACAGATGATAATTGTGATTTAATGATCAATATGAAGGGTATTGTAAGAGTTAATTTACCGCAACAACAACATGGAGGTATGTTTTTTTTAGCACTTATAGTTGTAGTAATGTATAAATTGTTATTCATGGTATAAAATTGACGAATGAATTGTTGTAATGCAGAAACTACATTGCCCTTTTGGAATATAACCCCACATTACAGTCATATTAATTGGGAACATCCTCATGAAGAATTAGATTTTCTTGGAATGAATGAAGCGCAATCATGGAAGGAAGGAGATGCATCATATGTTGGACAACTATTTGACACTAAAGAAGATGTAAGAATGGCTATAAAACATTATGCCATGAGGAAGCATCAAACTTTTTTTGTGGTGGAGTCAAAAGTAACAACATATGTTGTGAAGTGTGTCAATCACAATAGTGGATGTCCCTGGAGAGTTCGAGCATCATTGCCAAAAAATGCAGACAAGTGAAAAATTATAAAGTGGGGTGGTGCCCATACGTGCGTAAATGCTTCAATCTCTCAAGACCACCAAAAGTTGGATTCCAAATTTATTTGCTCATGCATTCTTGGTATGTTAAATTTGATATTAAATTAGAGAAATTTGAAATAGGAAAAATGTACTAATTTTCATCCTATTACATCCCAACAAATTTAATAATGAGCTCTTAATATATGACATGCAGGTATGGTAAAAGAAGAACCATCAGTGCCTATTTCATTAATTCAAGAGAGAATTAGTGGTCAATTTGGATATTCAATTTCATACAAGAAGGCATGGAAAGCAAAACAAAAAACAATTGTTACTGTATTTGGTGATTGGGACGAATCTTATGCTGTATTGCCAAGGTGGCTAGAGTACATGCAATTACATGCTCTTGGATCTGTATACAAAATTGAAACAACTGATTACGTTGAAGGTCACACCATGGATAATAGATATTGAGTTTTTCATTGGTTGTATTGGTCGTTCAAGCAATGTCATGAAGCTTTCAACTTTTGTAAGCCTATAATATAGGTAGATGGAACATTTTTGTACGGTAAGTATCGACAAACTTTGCTAATTGCTACGACTCAAGATGGAAACAACTGTGTGCTTCCCATTGTGTTTGTCATTGTCGAAGGAGAAACCTTATCTGCATGGGAATGGTTTTTAGCCATGATTGGTATACATATGACGAATAAGGCAAGGCTATATTTGATCTCAGATTGACATCAAAGTATAAAAGGTGCAGTCTCTAACCCACATCTAGGTTGGCAACCTCCAAATGCTTATCATGTTTATTGCATTCGTCACATTGCAAGCAATTTCAATCGACGATTCAAAAATACCATGTTGAAGAAAAAACTAATTCAATTAGGTACGTGTTCTTCCTATTTGATTCATTTAACCTTTAATATATTTTGAATATTTAACCTATGCATTCAAATTTTTTCTGTTAAATGCAGGATATACACCATCAAAACATATTTGTCTGAGTCAGACTTGGATAGAAATCAACAAGAAACATCTTCACATCAAGTTCGGCGGTATGACATACAAAGAACAAAGTTTGAGGTTGATGAGGCATTTAATCTAGTGACACAAAGGGATGGTCATAAGTGGACAGTCATATTGTCCACACGTTATTGTCAATGCGAAAAATTTAAGGCATTCCGATATCCATGCT